AGAACACGATTGTTTTTTTACAAGTTTTTTACAAGCCATTAGTTAATTAATTATGAACTGTTTTTTATTTAATTAGATTTCTTAAAATTCAGGCACTTCCACCGGAAGTATTACAATTTTTACATATTAAAATTTATGGACGTAATATTATGGCGGGGAAAATGTAGTAAAGTTTATATTGGAGAGGAACAAAACCTCTCAACATAAAATTTAAAAGCTTTGATGGTTATGACAATTTAATTAAAAAGTATCAAGAATTAGGATTTTTAAACAAGACTTAAATTTATTATTAATTTGTTAATTATGAAATAATAAATTTTCATTTTATTTTGCAAATTCAATGGAAATATATAGATATATAGATATTTATAGGATAGTAAATTTTTAGCACATAGTTGTAAAAATTTGGTAGACTTAGACTTAACAATAGTTTACGGAAATAAAATTGATAGTAATATTTAATAATTGCCCCAAATTAGAGAATAGTTAGAATATGGGAGGAGGAAATATATGTAGATGTTGTGTTCGATATAAGAGTAAAAAACATTAAAAAAATAACTTTTTTTTTTTTTTTAATAATAAAGTAAAATAATTTCGAATTCAACCAATTAAAGTTTCCAAGTCGAAATAAATCAAATTTGAAATTTGAAATGCTAAATTAAAAAAAATATATTGGTTTTGAATTATGTCAAGCTAGAAGACCTCCGGACATTGTTTACGCACATTTTAATAAAGATATTCTGGCAAGTATGAATTAGTGTTGGTTGCCAAAACTATTTTGAAGAGGCAAAAGTCAAAACTAAAATTAAAAGTTGTATGTCAAAACTAAATCAAAAGTCAATAGTCAAAAATCAAAACTAGTTTCGACTTTTGCACGGTTGCGAAACTCTCTAATTTTGGAAACCAACACTAGTATGAATCTACCTGGAACAAAAAGGAAGTCCATAGTTGATGCAAGAACATTTAGCGAATGGATGCACAAAATCCATCTATTGAAATAAATATCAAAATGATGATTTTTTGGATGAAACAGGTTCTTTGACAACTTCTAATTCTTCAAATGTTCTTGGAACAAGGAGTTTGTATAATAAATAAATACCCATAAAGTGAGGTTGATCCTCACACTTCCCGTTTTCATGATGTGGGGGTTTATTTTTATTTTTATTTGCAAAATAAAATTCTTCTTTCCCAACAACAATTAAATAAAAATTCGATTTTTTACTTTGACCAAAATAACTACTCATTTTTATTTTCCTCTTGCTTTGGAAAATTTGTTATTGTTTACTGGTGAAAAAGTATTTTATGCTTTTTTAAGGCACCAGTATTATTACTATTATTATTACTATCACTATTACTTGTTTATCTAATAATAATGTAATATTTATTGGTTCAAAATTAGTAAATCGATCCGTCCAATCTCTGTTTAATAATCAATTGATCTCCAGAAGAACCCAAATTTATTTCTTTTAGTTGGGGATCTTACTACAGGTGCCGTTAAATAGTGTTTATGTGTGGTGTTTGGTAAGGGTTATGAAATAAAACAATAATTATTATAGATAGACGGATCGTGTCAATTAATGTCTTTTTGGTAATTTTATGTTGTCTCTATTGATAATGATATGATCATGCTGGGAAAGGAAGAGAGAAGTCGACATGACATGTTGATGTTGAGTTGAAGAAAATGTTGGAAAAATCAGTCTCTTATTAAATTTGATTTTTGGGGAAGCTATTTTTGAGAAATTGACAAATGTCCTTTTTTTTTTTTGCATGTAAAATGGATTTACTCCCAGAGACACCTAATAGCCTTCCTATTTTTTTCTCGCTGATCTTTTAACTTGTAATTGATATCTCTGGTATCTTTTTCCGTGCTGTGTTGAGACCAACATGCCATTACTATATTTTAAGAACCAATAATTAATGATAATCTTCGATTAATTAAACAGTAAAGGGTTATTAATTTTTTGATCAATTGCTGAAAAAGATTACTAAATCAGAAGGCGCGTATAGCATGTTAATATGGAAATATATATATATACAGATTAATAAAAGGATTTAATTTTAATATTGTTGATGTCTTGGGCCATGTGGAATTTAAATCATGTCAATTTAAATTTTATATAATATATTTTATTAAGCAATTAATTATTCGATAATTTCAATTACACACAAATAAAGCAATTTATTTTTTAATCATCCTAATCCGTCTTCAATAAAATTTTTATAAATTGAATTCAAAAGCTATAATCTTCATCATCCATTACTTCATTCCATCCATCGTTTAATGCATACTCCCACAAGTCATACCAAAGATGTTGTTTTGGTTTAGAACTAATTTTTCCTTCCGCTTTCAATTTATCAATTCTATGTTTCAAAGGAGCCTCACCATTACCTCTTAAGGAAGGTTGAAGATGTGCTAGTACATATTTAACAAGAAGATTTCCATTCAATCCAGGGACTCTCAATTGAGAAGCGACATTATCAGCATCATTCGCAATAACAGACGGTTCCCTCCAAATATCCTCACCTCCCCAACTTCCACCACTAGTGTACGCATTAACTTCAAAAGTAAGGATATTATTTGGTTTGATTGAAGGAGTACTTGAGCGGCCATAATAATCATCATTATCAAGCAAAAAAGGAAAATCATCTTTTTGCGTAGATTCATCTTCACTGCTATTTAATTATTTTAACGATTATTGTTATTATTATGAATATATCAACAATAACATCATAATACATATAACATATATACTTCACCTTTGATCTTTGGAAAATCGTATAGAGAGACAACCCCACCAATCACAACCAGGGTTGCAATCATCACCAGATATACCACGGTAAGCACAAGTAGCAATAGCATAAATGAATGATATAGGTATTTTTGTATGAGGATCCACAACAGGTGATCTGATTTCTATTCCTGTTCTTTTTAATTTAATTCCTCTATAACCTTGTGATGACCAATCAGACAAATTAAATGATAAATCGGTAGTTCTACTATGTAAAGGTTCCACAATCAATCTATCTTCCGCATCTTTTACCCAACTATTATACAATTCAATTGATTCTTCTGCTATTGTTTCGTTTAATGGACGACCCTCACTGATTTGTTTTGCAATTGGCATCAGATCTTTGTCACACCTTGTCAGACGTGGATAATTGTCAATGGCAAATTGACGAAACCAATTTTTGGTTAAGGTGGTGCAAATGCGAGATAGAGCCAAATTGTACGCCTTTTCTTGTGTTGATGTGAGTTGTGGAATAAGATATCTTTCCAAGGAGATGACCATAGCTTCTTCTTTTACACATTTCAATTGTGTATCATAATCAATTTGTTGAAAAAGAGACTTCTCGATCCATGCTTTGCTCTATTAAATATATAATTGTGCGCACATATTGATTTCGAATGATTAGTGTTATGATTGTTATATATAAATATAATAGTAATTTATAAATTTAATTGATTACTTGATCAACTTTCAAATCTGCATAAATTGGTCTTCCGCCATATTTAACAATTTCGTGTATATCATCGTGTTTTATAAATCTCGTTACAACTAAATCATCTTCACGATCTAGAAATTCTTCGTTAGTCTGATTAAGATTGATGTGAGCACCAGGAATTCCACGAATTTTTTTTGTTTCATTAATGCGCAATTTCAGCATTGTTTCAACATCGATGCTTCTTGATGGGCCTGTTAATGGTTGTGACTTTGGCACATTGGTATCACCACAACCTAATAATATTCTCAAAGAGTGTAAATCATCTATGTGTTTGTCAAAATAATAAGGCCAAATGATATGTGATGATTTCAATGCTTCAAGAACTTCCAAAGAAGCTACTGAACAGACAAGATTTGTTGGTGGAAGAAAGATGGTGTTTCCGACAACTCTATCATCACAACAAATATCCATGATCATCTTGCTACTAGAATCGTGATTACAGACCCCGATTTCGATTTCTTGATTGATTATTTCTTTCATATCATGGGGACCAATGACAACTTCCACATCGTAATTGTATACATCTTCGATACCCTTCACATTAACAGTGCATGTTGCTTGAATTTTGATACAGATATCTTTATAATAATCCATTTCCAGTTCGACCTCATGTTTGGTTTTCAAAGAATTTAACCAGTTGCTAGTTTGTGATGGGGTGGCAATTATATCCCAATCAACTGGATCACGAAAGCTAGGAACATGATATTTTGCAGCTTGAGAGCCGATCAAGATTGGATGTTGATAAGAGGCGATATCAGTATTTTTAGGAATGGGATCAGGTAATTTCGTTAAAATATCAATTGCATTCTTAATGTGAGATGTTAATTTAATCGGTTCGAGTTTTTGTTTGTCGGTAACGGTGGTTTTACTTGTCGACATTTCCTTCCTTTAAAAAAAATTTTTTTAAAAACTAAAAGAAATGATGTAATTGTTTATTATGTACCAAATTTGGAAATTAATAGTATATTTTGTAGATCAATTCACATAATATGAAGAAAATCAATGAATTTGTATATGAATTTAGCAGCAATTTTTCATCCTTTGTTTAATTCAAAGAAATTAAAAATGATGATATTTTATCAAGTCGCCATTTGAAAGAATTTTATCACCCTTGCAGATACAAGTTGGACGGACAAGACAATAAACATCCATTCTGTTCCTGTGTTAAAAAACGATCCAAATGTGAATACATGACAAATATTTAAAGAAATCATCATGCCATTGTATCAGCATTATTGTTATTATTAAATCCTATTCAAATTTCTATGAAAAAAATCCAGTTCCCAAAGTACGCCAACTTTGTTTTTGTCATATAAGCATTTTTTATTATTTTGCCATTGAGGAAGGGGAGGATTCATAAATAATGACAAAATTATCTAAAACACCAGAAACTAATAAGTAAGTTCATTTATATATTCTAACTATTGGTCAAAATTGAAATTTTCTTTTCTTTTTCTTACAATGCGAAGAGAATGAAGATTTGTTGGTGACTATATTGATGATAAAAAATCTCAAGAAGAATCTGATCTACATCTATTTGCTTATTATCCGTTGCATTCAAGGCTTAATAACTACATGGTTTAGTATGCTTAGAATTTTAATACAGAATATTCATGTAAGTTTTGTTGACAATTACAAAATGATGATGATAATTAATATTCAATAGATCAGCATGTTAAATTTAACAAAAGAAAGCATCATCAACAATGTAGATCGGTATTTTTCCAATATAATTCAAACTCTCTGATCCTGTGGCATTACAAGGTTACTTTGATGGTAATTGTAAGTTTATTAACATAAGTTTTACACAATGTTCATTTTTACAAGGTATTCTTTCAACCATTACTAACGTGAACCATTTCAAAAGATGTCTAAATGAAGAAGAATTAAAGATAACAACTATGTTTCCTCCACCCCGAGGGAATATGTTCTTCAGATGTAATAGATGACAAGTGGTAGATCTTCACATTTGTTTTTACGCATATTATATATATTTACTTCTTTCATTTATAGCAAAGAAATGCAATTCCCGTTTTAAAATGCGCGAATAAAAAGGAAAGCAGATATGAAGGGAATGCTAATTCATACAGCTGTCAAACTTGTGGCGATTAATGAAGAAGTCTCAGGAAGATTAAGTTCATTTGGGCTGACGAGTGCAAATCGAGAAAAAAAGATTTTATCACGATGAGAAATCAATCATTAAGTCCTGAAAGAATTTCTGATGAACAAAAAAGGCCTTTAGTAATATATGCATGGATCTAAGCAAGTATGCTTATGTTGTTTACGCTTCTAGTACTAGGAGAGAAGACGGAACATGAATAAACATGAAAATTCAATTACTGAAATGTTGCAAGTCATTATGATTAGCAAAACAAAATATAAACAAAGCACAAACGAACCAGAAGACTAGATAAACCTGTTCAATTAGAATGAGTCTTCGGAAAATAGTTCAAAAAAAAAAGGGCTGGACCTACGAAAATTTAAAAATAATACATTCGGAAAGTTTTAATTAAAGAATGGAAATAAAGAAAGAAATGGACGCCGAAAGGATAATAGGATCTTTGATGGAAGAACAAATGCAATAATCCAAGAAGGAAGAAACGTCAAAACAAGTGATCGTTATAGGATCAAAGTTTTGCAAAACAAAGTCTAGAAAAAAATTAAAAAAAAAGACCATTATAAAGAAAAGAAAAATAAATTACAATTAATTAGGAAATGTAAAATGCCGATAAAGAATAACTGTAATTAAATAGCAAGAAAAAATTTTGAGCATTAGCAGAACACCATGTTTGAATTAAAAAAAGAGCAAAGATGCTAGAAGAAGAAACATAAAAAACGAAGAAATTAATTTTTGTTTCGTGGAACAAATTTTGCGGGAACAAAACAAAAAACAAAATTTACGAAGAATAAATTAATTGTAATAGCTCTATAAGGAAACCAGCAATAAAATACCTGAAGAACTAAGTACTATGAGTGCGGCTAGTACAAGTGCAAATTCTAGTGGCTGAAGGAAAGTACATAATTACATCATAACAAGAATAAGACAGACATAAGCAAGTAATCTGACAATCGATGGATCAAAGAATCGTATCAAACACAAAAGGAAATTGGAAATTCAAGGTCAAGTGGACTTGGAGCTAAAGGAAAAAAGGAAGAAAAGAAATGGGAGATGGAGAAGAAATAATTCATCGGGACGATGAATTTAAAGAAGGTGAAGATTGTGAGATTGTAAACCAAACCATAGACCAACCAATTGCCCGTTAATATTGACCACTGTCAGTGATTAATTTCGTATATAATCTCTATCGTTAATTGTTATCTTTATCGTTAATTATCTTGGTAATTAATTTCGACGATGCTAAATCGTAAGATAATTATCGATAATTATCTTATTTCGTTAATTTTCGATTTTTTTATTGAGATAAATATCGATAAATGATGTATCTCGACATTTATCCCTAAAAAAATTTCCCGATGAATTTAATTCAATTTTTAGTCAAGAAGTCCTTATCTTCTTCTAATAAGCAATTAATTATTATTTTCCACCAAGTTGGAACATTAATGTTGTGCCATCGTTTGTTGACAACGATGCAAGAATTTCACTTAAAAGTTCAAGTGGCAAAGTTATCATTAATATAAAAAAACATTTTCTATTTGCAAAATAAAATGAAATTTTATTGATTTATTTAAAAATCCTAATTCTTGATAATGTTTTATCAAATGGTCGTAACCATCAAAGTTTTTAAATTTTATTGTGAAAGGTATTGGTCCTCTCCAATTCTTCATTAAATTATCGAAAAAATGTCACTGGTGCTAAAAATCTCATTGATAATTATTGATTTTAAATGTTTTGGTAACGTTTGATTTACAGTTCCCGGCGAAAGTAATGGCGGTACAATGAAACATTATTTTTGCTTAGTTTTTATTAAGTAAATCGATCTTTTTATATTAAATAAAGTTGTTCACAATGAAAAATTCTACATATCCTAAAATTTTTATGAAGTTTAGAGAAAATTTTTTGATGTGTTCTTGCACTTTACATTTGTGTAAAAAAATTTTGATTTTTCTTTTTCGTAAAAGCGTAAAATATAAAAACATATTAAAAATTTTTTCGAATAATTTTATTTAATGTATAAAGATTTATTTACTTAATAAAAAAAAAATTTAATAGAAAAATGAAATTTAAAAAATTCTTAAAAAAGCCAAAGTTCCGATTTTTTTTAATGCTCAAATTAGATTCAAACCGGGATTGAGAAAGGAAGAAAATGTTTTATACTATAAGCTTTTAAAAGCATAATGTTTTACTTAGAGGCGTTTTAAAAATAAAATTTTATTGATAGTTGCTTATTAAAAATTTTTAGTTTTTAAAAAAATTATCACCGTCATTACTTTCGCCAGGGACTGTAAAACTGTTAAAATTCTATCGCCATATATTTTTTCTGTTGATCGCGTAGGAGCTTCTTTCAATTCAATACTTGATTTACTACAATTATCAAGTATTTCTATCAGATCTTGATAAATTTCATCTTTATAAATACAGTCATTTAATACTGTTTGAAATCCGTATTGTGTGGGTGTCGGTAAAGTGTCCCAGACCCGTTTGAAGTTATCTGATAACTTTCTGTCAATATTTTTTAATATAGAACAACTTATAAATAGTTGTTTTATATTATTTTGTGCTCTGATTAGCCGATCCAGGCTATCTTCGATTTTATTGTTGATTTGCATGAAATATTTCATTCAAAAGCGCCTGGAATTTAAAAAATCTAATTAAATAAAAAACAGTTTATAAATAATTAATATTAACTAATGGCTTGTAAAAAACTTGTAAAAAAACAATCGTGTTCTGATAACACTTACGATGCTTCAGTTTTTGCTTTCTTAACTTTACATCTTTTTAAATTTCTGTCTTCAGGCATTTTTTTTAAAAAATTTTATAGTTTCATAATCAAAGTTTTCAAGAGGTATTTATAAGTAAATTCATGAGAAGATTTTTTGGTTTTTTGAAAAAAGATGAATAATAATAATTGATAAGCAATCAGTACTAGCCATATTAGGTACACACCCAGACAAAAGTTTTCGGACTCCTATTTTTACTGATAATAATAATAATAATAATAATTATATAAATTTATATCATTGGTGATGTAAATTTTTATATTCTTAAAAGTCTAATTTTAATTAAAAGAATCCGAAATTAAACGAAAATCGTGATATCATTTTTTGTTTCTCGAATTTACCCAAAATCCTACATAATAATAAAAATAAAAATTTATGTCAATTTGTAGCTTATATTATCTATATAGAATATGAATGCAAAATTTTGTGATTTTGGCTAGCATAAATAATTTATAATAAAATTAGTAAATAAAATCGCATTTATAAAAATCAAAATTTTAAAAATGTAAAAATGCCAAAAAACGAAGAGGAAAAATTTTGAGCCTTCATGAAAGTACCTAACTGGTCTTCACAATCTTAATCCAATTGAACATCTTTGGAGTGAACTAGGGAGGCGATTAGATAAGTGAACACAATACCCAAAAATGCCAACGAATTGGAAGCTGCTTTACAAGAAGTGTAGTCAAGAACCCCATATGAAACTTACTACAAATTAATAGAAAACATGCCTAGAAGGATTGAGACATGCATTTCTAGCGATGGATGGCCAACTCGATATTAAAGTTTTATTTCTATTTATATTTTGAACACAAAATAAATATTTTGTTGATCATCATCATTTTCGTCGAGTTTCGGAGTTTTTTAATTAAAAATTTTTTTAGACGTTTTGAGATTATCAAAATTTACATGCATATTCATCAAAACCTAAGCTACATTTTGATAAAATTTTATGTGTAGTTATTATGCGCGTTTTTGTATAA